CCTCAACCAGTGATGTTCTCCTCAACCAGTGATGTCCTCCTCAACCAATGATGTCCTCTCTCTATCTCTCTTCCTCTCTTTCTGTCTGTCTCGCTCTCTCTCTAAATACCATACAATAAAATACAATAGTCTTTATGGGTGGGAAGGTGGTGCAGTTGGTAGAGCTATTGCCTCTCAGCAAGAAGGTCATTGGTTCAAATCCCAGCCGGGGACCTTTCTGGGCGGAGTTTACATGTTCTCTCGGTGCATGCATGGGTTTTCTCCGGGTACTCCAGTTTCCTCCCACAGACCAAAAACATGCATGTTAGGCTGATTGGTAACTCTAAAATGTCCGTAGGTGTGAGTGAGAGAGTGATTGGTTGTTTGTCTCTATGTGTCCCTGTGATAGACTGGAGACCTGTCCAGGGTGTCCCCTGCCTCTCACACAGTGACTGCTGCCGGACATGAGAACCAGTGACCCCCGCAATCTGAAAAGGTAGAAGCGGGTAAAGATAATGGATGGATGAACAGCCTTTATACTAAAAGCGCATGAAGCTTTGGACAGAGCGGTGTAGTGACCTGTGAAGTGGACACCTTTTGGACATGGAGGATGTGTGTTTATACTGGGAAACAGGCTGGCACTGTTTAGATCATACCAAGAGCTGGTCCACACACCACCCAACAGGAGACAGTGTGTGTTGTGCATCAGCTAAAAAGAAGACCTCCATCTGCAGCACGTGTGGAAGTTCATCTACAATTAGAACGAGCAAATAGTTTTCAGCCCCTGCCTCACAAGAACTGACGCATACACACCCACACACAACCCCCACCATCACCTCTGGTCTGAAAATGGTAAGCGCTTCACCATCATGTGTTTCTAACATACTATGATCTACCCATTAGGAAGAATACAAAGGTAAATGGAAAGTACTTGCTTTTTAGGAAAAAAGGAAGTTTCAAAGGAACTTAGTGGTAAGGTTTGCAAGTGGTGCAAACAAAATACGCAGTGACTTTTTTTTAATGGCAGCACAAAACCCAGTCTCATGGTTGCCTAATAGGTATTTAATTAATTAATTGTACACTTCAACATGCACACACACTTACATAAAGTGAAATGATTTGCTCACCTATTTTTCTCAGTTAAAGTTTACCACGTTTTGCCTTCATTTTTTTTCTCACCACTACATGATTTTTCCTGACACTCCATCCATTTTGCCTCTCAGTTCACACTCTGGCCAACACCACCCATGGTTCCCTTTCTACTTCTTCTCGGCCTGACCAAACCCCCTCACATTACTTCATTATTTTTGAATGCACGCCTCCAGCCCAATTCGTTCTGCCCCGCCTCCCTTCATCTTCCACCATCATCCATCTGCTGAGCTGTTCCAACAAATGAAGCAGATGTCACCTTCATTGTTCCAGTCATGCTGACACAAAGCTTACACTTGCTTCTAAATGTTTTTGTTTCCATTGGTTTAGTTCCAATAAGTAAAAACTTAAATGGCAGAATCAGTGCAGTCCATATTCCCCCACTGAATTTTTATTAATGTACACACTATAAGTAAATACTCTTCTCCTACACCATAAAATATTGTAGCAGGCTAGTTGAACGTGATGCAGGGAGTGTCTGCATATGAAGTGAGTCACGGTTCTATTACAATAAACATGGTTCAAATTAAGAGAAGGGGTGTTGATCCTATTTAATTAAGACTTGGACCCTCGTAAAAGAGGTAAAAACTGGTTGGGAAATTGAATTTATATACTGTACTTCAATTCAATTCAATTCAATAATACTTTATTAATCCCAAAGGGAAATGAAGTGTTGTCGTAGCTCGTCATCCTGGTTTCATTCAAGAGTTGATATAGATGCTGATAGCTGTGGGCAGGAAGGATCTCCTGCAGTGAAGTCGAAGAATCTGGCCACAGATACCGATCCGTCCACATGGATCCAGCTTGCTGTCAGATCCAGCGGACCTCTCGGTCCTCCTGGGCAGCAGGACTGCCCGAATGCCGGGCAGAATTCCTCTCTGAGCGATGGTCACTCCTCCCAGCAATGTGACGAGCTCCTCATCGCCACAGACAGACAGCTGAAGGTGCCGGTGGATGATCCCGGTCCTCTTGTTGTCACGAGCCGAGTTTCCCACCAGCTCCAGGATCTCGATGGTCAGATATTCAAGTAACGCTGCCAGGTTGACGGGAATTCATTCACAGCACCTCCTTTTCAACCCATTTGGGATTTGGGGCTGTAGTTGAGGTATTTGAGCTTTTGAGATGTTAATCAGCTGCTCCTGGTTGTTAAAAAAAAAAAAAACACCTTGTTGCTATGGTTACGCATCATAACAAATGCCCAAAAGTAAAAAAGTTTCAGTAAAAAACCTTCCAGCTGCTCAGCATCTGGTACCAGAGGAAGTAATCATCCAAACAAAGGCGATTTACATCCAGAAAAAAAGGAATAAAAGTTTTCAAAAGCAAAAACTCAGAATGAAAGTAACAAAGCTGCTCCAACATGCAGCCACACCGAGTGGCGCAAATCTAGAACTTATATACACTGTACAAATATATCTAGAACTTCATATTATACAAATTTTAATATCTGATTTAAACACTGTTTTCCATACTTCCCATACTGAAGTTTATATTTGATATTACTGTAATTTCCAGACTATAGAGCGCACCTGAATATAAGCTGTGCACACTAAATAAAAACACAACAGTTTCGTACATATATAAGCCACACTTGTGTATAAGTCGGAGGTGTTGATGTTGTAACATGAGAGGCAGCGCAGCTTCTGAGAGAGATGTGCAGGTCTTGTTGTAGATCAACAATCAACCACCAGATGGCGTTTTATAGACTTTATTTTTCTTTTCAACACAGACACAGGGAACCCCACAGGTCTCCATGACAACTGTAACACAAACTAACACATATTGAACATAAAATTGGCTAATAAGAACAGACTAATCACTAAAAGAACTATGCTAAACAGCTAACTGAAATGATTAACAATTAACATAAATTTTACCCATAATCCCTCCCTGAGGCCATGTGACCAGCAGTCAACCACAGCAGAATGCTACAATACGTACAGGTAACAAACACAAATATCTACAGTAAACGTTTTTTTCTTAACAGTGTCGGTAACACGGCTGGTTAAAAAAAATACAGTTAGTCTACCAGGAAGTCACTAGCTGTGTTTACATGCGCAAAACTTTTTGACCCGATTGAAATGTTTTCAGATTAAATTATTCAGATGTATCGTTTACATGGACACAATCCGTTCACGACGAGTGTTTACAGGCTTTTATTATATCCTGATGCATGCTCAATAATCCAGGTAGAAAAATCCAAAAAAGTTCAATCTGGTCCTCTGGACATTCAAAAAAACAAAAGCAAAACAAAGCAAAAAAAAAAAAAAATGTAGAAACGTTTCGTCTCTCATCCGAGAGACTTCCTCAGTCTGAGGTGCTGTTTTCAGCTCAGTCTCTTAAATAGCACCTTCTCAGAGTGGATCAACCAGTTTGCTGCTGACAACCAAAACCAGCTGATCACATGCTCAAGAAGGACCATCAGCCTAACAATGGATCATTAACACACTGATGGCTGTTTACTGTTCACAGAGGGCTGAGTGATACTAGCAATCACAGCATTGTAAGAGGTGTCTGAGGTGCTGTTTTAATGATTTTACATTATTAGTGTTTAGCATATATCTTAGTGGATATCTTAGATCCTTGTATACTGTTTATTTTTATACTTTATATTTTGCTAATTTTGGGAGTAACTGGGATCTTGAGTACACAATTTCATTCCACCTCATGTACCACGTGTGATGCGAATGACAATAAAGAAACTTGAATTTGAGATTTCAACTTTCAAAAACCAGTGCAGCATCAGACCTGACTCCCAGTCAGCTCCACTCCAGTTCACACCTTCATGCATGTGGACCAATATGTCTCTCATGAACCAGGCAGACAAAGAGCCTCCTCCATTGTGCGGGGCGAGCCGATCCAGTCTAATCTGCATGTGAATCTAGGTCCATACGAGGCCTCTCAGTTCTATAAAGCTTGGAAACGCCACACACTCCTGACATTTAAGAGTTGATAACACCTCCCACACGGGAAGCAAAGCGTCTTCAGTTTCAGAACAGAAATCCTGTTGTTTTTATTTTTTAACCTTTCTTAGGATCGCTACAAATGTAGTTTAGTAATAAGGTCTTTGTCCTTTCAGCATGAACAGGACAGTTTGAAACAGCGTGGAGCTTTATTCTTAGATGCTGAAGGTCTGTTCGGTTGACAGTTTAGCTCCAGACTCTTTTATTTGTGATGTTTTAGAGAATATTGTGTTTATGTGAAACGATGGACTGAAGGTCATTTACTATAATTTTTATCTATAGACTTGAGGTTAAAACTGACAAAATAGAAAAATATTCTACTTTTATTTGATTGTTACTGTATGATTCACCCACGAGCCAAATGTCTGTCAGTGGATCGTGTGTTCCATCATAGACAGAGGAGCAGATGCCCTTTGGGCCTTGTGATTGTACGTCAGCACTATATTGTGAATGGTGTTGCAGAAAGATGGAAAACTTTTATTTATTGAAAGTTCTGGGGAAAAAATCCCATTCTGAGCTGCTTGGGAGTGTACAAGTCACTATGTTTCAATCCAGATCCTTACAGGTACGGATGAACAATTAGTTTAGGATGTTGAATGTAAAACAAAACATTACAAAAGCAAACAACTACAAAAAAGGCCTTTAATGAATAATTAATATTGTACATGTTTATCAGCCCATATTCCTAAGCTCCTTAAAAAGCATCTTCCATTTTGAATTACGCAATATTTAAAATACTTTCAATTACCTCTTTAAGCACAACAAATCAAGGAAACTCTTTTCCAACAATATTAAAAGATTTGATATGAACCCTCTAAATAATTAAGGGGGAAAAAATGAAGAGTGCATAAGAACATTTAATTTAATTTAATTTAATCCAAGCTAAGTTTCTTTTTCAGGGGTAAACTTGTCTGGTTTAGGTGCTTTTATTTTATTTATTTATTTATTTAGGTTTGCATACATTGTTAATTTGATCTCAAAGACCATTACGACTATTAAAATCAGGACATATTAGTGGACATAAAAATTATTCCAGAGAACTGATTGAACATAAACTTCTTTTTATTTATTTGTTCATTTAGACCCAGCATCCTCCTGGTTTCCATGGTGATCTTGCCTCACAACATGGCGCACGCGCTGATCGTGTCGTCTCCTCCTGTCTGCGCTGCACCATCACAAAGGTGTTTTTTTTTTTCCTCCTCTCACGCCCCCTCACCGTGAGTGTGACCGCCCGCTGACACAGGTGGGACCAACAGGAGGAAAACATCCCAAAGCTCCATGTCCATCTTCATCTACAGACTAACGGCGGCATCAAAAGCCTCCGACAGCCACAACAAAGCATCACCCGTTAGCTAACATGTATCAGCGCGCGCACCTGCTGTCCACCAAGCTCCGAAGCTACAAACAAACAACAAGCTAAAGATAAAAAAATACGAGCAGGTGTGTAAAAACTCAGTAACCTACCTTTGAAAACGATGAGACAATGTTCTCGCTGTCTGTCCGCTTCCCTGCGCGTCTGTTCGTCTCACTTCGTAGTAGATGTAAACAACGGCGAGAAAAAAAAAAACCTTTTCCGGTAAGATTTCACAATAAAAGCTTCTTCTTTTTTTTTTTTTTTTTTTTGGCGCGATTACATTTTTTCATTTATTTTTCATTTAAACTTTATTTATACAGGTAGTCTCATTAGGTCACGAGGACTCATTTTCAAAAGATACCTGTTTTAGATTGACAACAATAATAAGCAATTAAAATTAAAAGTTGCTATAAAAACAATCAAATCAAGGTGCCATACAAAACAAGGCAAAATACTAAAAACAAGAACATGTTTTTCTAATGACCTTATCAAATGTTTAAAATCCCTCAAGTTGACAGCTTCAGATCTTGAGGTGTTCCAGGTTGCAGGAGCAGACTAGGCCTTTTTTTTTCCAAGTTCAATCCACACTGAGGGGACACTGCAGGTAATGATGGTCGAGAGTGCACACTGTAGCTGCACCAGTATTGCCAGGTGAGAAATGTAGGATTATCGTACTAGAGACATAAAATTATTGTATTTTGAGGGAAATTATCGTACACCCGTCATAACCAAAATAACAAATCTATTAATGCACTATAGTAGTGATGAGTCCGCTTCCAGACCAGCTCTGCTTCTTCTTTTCTTTTTTTCTTTTCCTCACTCATGGGGTGGGCGCAGCGGACTATTCATCCAATCATGGCCGTTGTTCTGAGGCAAACGCAAATACGTAACTCGTAGGTAACATTTAGAAAAGCACGATTGGCTGGAATCGTACATCTGCATCTGTTTGCAGACACAGATGCCTTCAGGGTTCACAAAAAAACTCCGACAGACAGTTGCGACAGGCTCATGACAACTGATTACAACCACACATTCACGGAATGGTCAAATTATTGTATATTTGGCCTTTTTTGGGATTACTGATCGTACATCGTACAGAGGGCAAAATTGTTGTACAAATACGATAATTATCGTACACCTGGCAACACTGAGCTGCACTGATGTGGGAGGAGATATAAGAAGGCAGCAGACCAATAAGGAGGGATTTATAAATGAAGATGTACCAGTGAGAGAGCCTGTGTGTAGATAGTGATGACAAACTGACCCATGAGTACAGAGTGCAGTGATGGGTACGGTAGTTACAACCAGTTGTATTTGAGGACATCGCATTGTGTTTTCTGCAGAGTAACATAGAATAGAACGTATTGGCTTCAAAAGGAAACTTGGCTTGAACTGCAACATCTCAGGTAGATGACGATGACATGGATGTCTCATGTCTCCGATGAATGTACAAAAAAAGAGGAAAGGGAATAAGTGAGAAAAGTTTGGCTGGACATTCCAAAAGAAGTTTAGAGGAAATTAGCTTAAGCAGAATAGTTTGTAAATTAAATAAATATATGAAAAGTGAGAGAAGGGTGTAAAATAATTCTACATTTCAGGGATGAGGAAGATATACAGTTAAACCTGTAGCAGTGTCAATGAAACTAAACATGAAGGTAAGAGAAGATGGCCTACATTTTGCAAAAATACTTAAGATAAGGAAATTTAATTACTGTGAAAACTGAAGACCAGAAAACAAAGAACTTCACATTGAAAACATCTGAAAAAAGAATGTGACAAAGATAAATTAATGGTGAAAATAGAGTGACAAGGGATCCCAGTGGATGAGGAAGAACCAAACAGACTAGTGGTGACATGGAAGTTAGTAGAGTTATATGATTGTTAAGAATTGTTGAAAGAGTCTGAATTATGCCAATAATTTTGGAATTCAAAGGAGCTAAATTCCCAGAAAGAATAAAAATAGGACTTTTGAGTTTTCCTGTCCCTACATTCCTCTTCCACTTCAATGTTTCACATGTCATTGATATGGTTGGTCACATAGCTGCAGAGGACAGCAAAGGTGCCTTAGGTGTGGGGAAAAGCACAAATATGAAGAATTTGTAGAAAATATACAAGATAAAGAATCAGAATCAGTTTATTATCGCCATGTCAATGAACGAGGTTCACAAACTAGGAATTTGCTTTGACATAAGGTGCGAATAGTAATAAAGTAAAATAAAGTCAAAATTAAGTAAAAATTAAGTAAAAATGAGAACATTACATAAGACATAAGACCTCTGTACACCCACAAATAAAGTAAAATTAAAAACATAACATAACCATATGTACACCCATACAATAGAAAACAATAAAAAAGCTTAGAGAACAGTACAGATGGAGTATTCAGTTATAATACAGATGTAATGTGACCAAAGCAGAAATTATGAGGTAGCATTATGAGTGTTCGGGAGTCCAACAGCAGAGGGGAAGAAACTGTTCTTATGGCGGGAGGTTCTGGTCCGAATGGACCGAAGCCTCCTGCCTGAGGGAAGTGGTTCGAACAGTCCGTGTGTAGGGTGAGCAGGGTCAGCTGTGATCCGACCTGCTCGCCTCACAGTCCTGGAGACGTACAGGTCGTGGAGGGATGGAAGGCTGCAGCCGATCACCTTCTCAGCTGAGCGCAGAACGCGCTGCAGTCTGAGTCTGTCCCTGGCAGTGGCCCCGGCGTACCACACCGTGATGGAGGAGCTGAGGATGGACTCGATGATGGCCGTGTAGAACTGCACCATCAGCTTGGCCTTCTTCAGCTGTCGCAGGAAGTACAGTCTCTGCTGGGCCTTCTTGATGAGGGAGCTGATGGTCGGCTCCCACTTGAGGTCCTGGGTGATGGTGATACCGAGGAACCGATAAGAGTTTGCAGTGGTGATGGGGGTATCATTACAGGTGAGGGGGGGCAGAGGGGCTGTGGCTTTCCTGAAATCCACAATCATCTCCACTGTCTTCTGGGCATTGAGTTCCAGGTTGTTGCTGCTGCACCAGGTCACCAGCCGGTCCACCTCCCTCCTGTATGCAGACTCATCACCGTCCGAGATGAGCCCGATGAGGGTGGTGTCATCTGCAAACTTAATAAGTTTCACAGAGTCATGGCTGGAGGTGCAGCAGTTGGTGTACAGGGAGAAAAGCAGGGGGGAAAGCACACAGCCCTAAATGCAGTAATTGTGAAGGAGTAAGGAGGGAGGGGGGGGGGGGGGGGGGGGGGTGAAAGAAGGCAGCAGAAATCCAAATGAAAGCAATCAACAAAATCAACAAAGAAGTTGAATCATGTCATCTGGACTTCGTTTTTTTGTTCAAAAGAAACGTTTCGCCCCTCATCCAAGAGGCTTCGTCGGTCTGAGGCCTAGCCATCTGGTATTACCCAGAAGCCACCCTGACTCTTGTGTTTCAAGCCTGCCTCAGATACCCCTGAAGTCTGGCCTTTTCACTAATGGTTTCAAAAACACAAAGTTTGTTTTCTCAGTCATTCAGGTATATAACAACAAAAAAGGTTGAATCATGTCATCTGGACTTCGTTTTTTTGTTAAAAAGAAACGTTTCGCCCCTCATCCAAGAGGCTTCGTCAGATTTGTTAAAAAGAAACGTTTCGCCCCTCATCCAAGAGGCTTCGTCAGCTTTGTTAAAAATGATGATGAATCAACAAAATCAGTTACGCAGAAGCTGTAAAACATAAAGTGTAAAGACAGAAAGAAGAGTTCAACAAGCATTAACACCAAACCACAGACAGATGAAAGAAACAAATACAGAAGTCACAGCAGAATGACAATGTAGCTGTTTTTGTTTAATTTTTCTTAGATTTATTTCACAATCTACATGCTTTCTTTTATGATTGTCTACTGTTGTCATTGTTGTCTGCTGTTGTCATCACTCTGTTAAAAACAGGTCTCTCTTGTAAATGAGTCCTCGAGGCTCAATGGGACTAACCTGTAAAAATAAAGGTTGAATGAAAAAAAGAAAAGGTAATAGCTCATTGTGTTCAACTACAAAGGCCAAGTAAAACAAAACAGAAATAAAACAAGATTACTGTATTGTGAAAGGAGTAGAGAAGGTTTTTTTGGAATAAAGGATGTAACATGGGTTGGACTAACATGGGTTAACATGGGTGTTCAAGACACTTGGGGGAGATGGGCAACCTGGTTCATCAGGGGAGGGGGGAATATGATCATTTTACAGTGGAATTCCCGAAGCTTAATAGCAAATGGACTGAAATTTAAAGAATTCAATAAAAATAATAGACAATGAGATACCATTTGCATTCCTGTTTATTTGTTTATATATAGTACTTTTTTCCCTTCTTCTTCTTCTTTCGGCTGCTCCCTTCTTCAGGGGTCGCCACAGCAAACTAAGACGCACGAAGACCTGGCAGTTATTTTTACTCCAGATGTCCTTCCTGACGCAACCACAGACCACCGAGCTACCACAGCCCTCTGTGTGGAGCAGAGAGCTGCTATCTAGGACACCCGGAGGAGCAGATGTTGGGGGTTAAGGGCCTTGCACAAGGGCCCAGTGTGGGGCGAATGAGGGTGGGGGCAGATATGGGTGCTTCACCTACCCCACCCACATTTTTGATGTTGTTGGTACCGGGGCTTGAACCGGCGATCTTCCGATCACAGGCCCACCTTCTCTACCCACTGCGCCACCCCATAGTACTATATACGGTATAATTAGTCTTTGCTTTTCTCAGACATGCAATGCTTCACATCTCTCCCAGATCTTCATCGTGTGACTCATCAACTTAATTCCCCTGTAGTTGCTACAACTCTGTACATCATCCTTGTTCTCAAAAATGGGCACCAGCACACTTCTTCTCCATTCCTCAGGCATTTTCTCACCCTCATACCTCACTGCCGTCTCTCCAATACATTTCCAAACCTCCAATGGTATGTCATAAGGTCCTACTGCCTTCTGCTTCTTCATTCTTTTCAGAGCGTTCTGGACTTCACCTTTCTATCCCACTTCCTGGTCCACAGTTTCTATGACCTCTACTCTTCATTCTCTTTCATTATTTTCATTTATTAACTCCTCAAAGTACTCCTTCCATCTTCCCATCACACTCTCCTCACTTGTTAGAACATTGCCATTCCGATCTTTAACAAGCCTAACCTGTTGCACATCCTTTCCAGCCTGATCCTTATGTCTCACCAATCAATACAAGTCCTTCTCACCCTTTTTAGTGTCCAGCCTCCCATACAACTCATCATACTCCTTCTGCTTTGCCTTAGCTACCTCCCTCTTTTCTCTAAATTACATCTGCTTATATTCCTGTCTCCTCTCTTCAATCCTCTCACTGTCACATTTCTTCTTGGCTAACATCTTTCTTTGAACGGCATCCTGCACTTCACTACTCCACCACCAGGTTTCCTTATCATCCATTCTCTGTCCAGATGACACACCAAGTACCTTCCTACCTGTCTCTCTAATTAGTTCAAGTTCAAGTATCTTTATTATGCCCGAGGGGCAATTAGTTTCACAGTCAGTAGACATATGAAACATCTCTTCAGTCATCACTAATTACTGTTAATGTAGTAGTCCAGTCATTTTGAAGTTATTTCTTACCACCCAGAACCTTTAACACCTCCTCTCTGAATTTTTTCCTTTCGGAAGCTCCCTTCTTAAGGGGTCGCCACAGCGAACTAAGTCGCACGAAGACGTGGCAGTTTGGTTTTTTTTTTTTACGCCGGATGCCCTTCCTGACACAACCACAGATCACCAGGCTACCACAGCCCTCTGTGTGGAGCAGAGAGCTGCTATCTAGGACACCCAGAGGAGCAGATGGTGGGGGTTAAGGGCCTTGCTCAAGGGCCCAGAGTGGGGCGAATGAGGGTGGGGGCAGGTGTGGGTGTTTCACCTACCCCAACCACATTCTTTGATGTTGTCGATACCGGGGCTTGAACTGGCAATCTTCCGATCACGGGCCCACGTTCTCTAACATCTGCGCCACCACCACTGTTCTAGAATTGCGCCGCTCAAGGTGGCTGCATGTTGGAGCAGCTCTGTTACTTTCATTTTGAGATTTTTCTTTTGGAAACTTTAATTCCTATTTTTCTGGATGTAAATCACATTTTTTGGATGATTGTTTCCTCTGGTATCAGATGCTGTGCAGCTGGAAGGATTTTTACTGAAACTTTTTTAGTTTTGGACATTTGTTATGATGCGTAACCATGGCAACAAGGCTGTTTTCTACAACCAACAGCAGCTGATTAACAACTCAAAAGCTCAAATAATATCTCAACTACAGCCCCAAATCTCAAGTGAGTTGAAAAGGATGTTCTGTGGACGCATTCTCATCTACCTGCCAGCTGTGCTTGAGTACCTGACCACTGAGATCCTGGAACTAACAGGAAACCCGGCTTGTGACAGTGGAAGGACAGGATCGTCCCTTGGCACCTACAGTTGGCTGTCCGCAGTGACGAGGAGCTCGGCAGACTGCTGGGAGGAGTGGCCATCGCTCTGGGAGGAGTTCTGCCCAGCATTCGGGCGGTCCTACAGTCCGGGGGAACCGAGAGGCCAGCAGAGTGGGTGGACGAATCAGACAGCATCTGCAGCCAGTTTCTTAGGATCCACTGTGGAATGAACCTTTATAAGAGATCCTTCCTGCCTACAGCAACAGCATCTATAACATATCTTAATGAAATGAGGATAACGAGTTACTACAACAAATAATTTCCCTTTGGGATTAATAAAGTATTTTTGAATTGAATTGAATTGAATTGAAATCCACTCCATGGTAAAAGAGTTTGAACCCTGCTCCAATGCTGCAAGCCTTGCTGCCCTTCCACTTGGTCTCTTGGACACATAAAACATCTACCTTCCTTCTCTGCATCATGTCAGCCAGCTCTCTACCTTTGCCTGTCATTATCCCCACATTTATAGTTACCACCCTCAGTCCTACATTCTTGACTTTCCTCTTCTCCCTCTATCTCCTAACACGTTTCCATCCTCGTGGTTTTCCACTAACAGTTGCACAATTTCTGCTGGCACCCTGTTTGTTAACAACAGTGGTGGTCGTTGTTAACCCGGGCCTCGACCGATCCGGTATGGTGTTGCTTAGATGGACTTGCATGTTAGTTTTGGCAAAAGTGTTTTGCGTCAGATGCCCTTTCCTACACAACCCTCACCATTTATCCGAGCTTGGGACCGGCACAAGAGATACACTGGCTTGTTCTCCCTAGGCAGGGCGGCTTTGGCTGAGTGGTTAGAGCAGTCGTCCTCCAATGCAAGAGTTGGAGGTTCGATTCCACCAGCAGTCACAAGCCGAAGTGTCCCTGGGCAAGACACTGACCCCCTCATTGCCTTGGATGTATGTCCCATTGGTGTATGAATGTGATCAAGCACAGATTATTGTTTGTATAGCTATAGTAGAGTGCTGTATGAATAGGTAAATGAGGGCACAGATTGTGTTGTAAAGTGCTTTGAGTATCTTGATATGATAGAAAAGCACTGTATAAATGCAGTCCAGTTACCGTTTACCATTTGTATTATGAACTGCACTGATCTCTTTAAATTAGTATAGCTTGTTTAAATTTCAGCGTTTGTTTAAATGCATGCCTTAGAATTTAACTTTAGGGAACATATCATTCCTTGTGAATTAGATGTTCAGTCTCCGTTTAGCCTCTAAAATAGTGAGCACAGAAAGGTGCAATATTTTGTGACCCATTCCCCGAAATACCTCTGTTTTCCAAATCTATTAAAGGCACAAACATGTTGTACACAACCCCACCTGCAAAAATAAAGGAGCCATAAGCTTTTGCTAATGTCACAGAAAATTGTTTATTCACAGAGTCTGATTTTATATTTTAAAGTAATAATCAGTTATGCATTATATATAGAAGGATGTTAAAGCTCAACGACACAAAGACAAATTTTCACAGATTTTGACTCAATGCTTTGATTTTATACCAACAGATTGTATACAGCTTGTTGTAATGGCACAGATATTAGACAGGACAGTGCAAGAGGAGGTGCTAGTGCTCCAGTCAGTGATGGTCATTTTGTTGGCTCCAGACAAGGACAATCAGGGGTGAAAGGCACCTGTTGCCCCGGTGCATTCTGTGAATCACCGAGAAGGAATGCCTAATTAGGAGGTAGAAGGGGGGAGGAGTCACCAGACAGTGGAGTCGTCATATCTGTTAAAAAGAAGCAGAAATACTGTTCCTCCAAACCCAGTTTATATACACAGATGAACTGTTATACCTGCACTAAAGCAACAAGACAGAGAAAAAAATGAGAAATTTTGTTGTGTCATTGACTGAACTAATTTATTTTTTGAAGGATTTAGAGAATTATTTTAAATAATTCCCCAAAATAAAGAGAGAAGAGACAAAGAGATAGCTGCAAACATTTTGTGTAACCATTTTTTTTTTGTGTGTGCTAACGTTCTTGTTTATTTTATTTTGCAGTACAATTTATAATTATTTATTTCAGACATTGGGAAGCATTGCTGGGGATTATGTCAAAAGGTAAGCTCTATATGCTAAGTAGTTTATTCCATAGTTTGTGTAACTGAAATGTAACTGGTAGTATTAAATGCAGAAGTGAAAGCAAATGATGCTCAATTTGGGTTGTCAACCATTTCTTGAAATACTAAATGATTTTGTGTATAAAATGTAAAAAAAAAAAAAAGCCTGCATTTCAAGATTCAATGTATTTATAGTAAAAAAAATAAAAAAAAATAGGGACTTTTAACACATGAATGGAAGAAGACTCATGCTCAGGATGCTAACTCTTCCTGAAGCTAAGTGTTACGTTATACATTAATCCTGCTCATTGGTCTTTAGTCACGAGTTGTGACCTACCACCAATGAAAGTGATGACAGTGAGCACTGCTATGTTACAGCTAACAACAGCACTAGATTAAAAAAGTCTAAAAAGTATATTGGACTGGCCAAAAGGTATTCAATGGAAGAAACAAACAAACAAAATGTCCCTGAAACAACATTAGTGACAGGCTGTGGATAACAGAGTGGAGAAAACTTTACAGTCAAAAAGACATCTCATACAGTTATATGGTTTGTCTAATAAGCATTTAGAGTGAGTTAAACCAACTGTGTAGACCCTTTGTAAATTTAATGTAAGATGTATACATGAATCCCTTATCACGTGGTCTTTGTAGTGTCTTTACCTTGATCTGTGATCTCTGTTGCTGTCACCACCAAACAGCAGCTCTGAAACCACATCCTCCTGAGCAGAGCGCTTTCCATACCTGCCAAAACCAAAATCTGTCATTAATTAAGACAAAATTTACTGGAGTTTTGATTGTACAATTCAAGTAACTATGGGCAGCACGGTGGCGCAACTGGTAGAGCTGCTGCCTCTCAGCAAGCAGGTCCCTGGTTCAAACCCCGGTCCAGGGGCCTTTCTGGGTGGAGTTTGCATGTTCTCTCCGTGCATGCGTGGGTTTTCTCCGGGTACTCCGGTTTCCTCGCACCGTCCAAAAACATGCATTTTAGGCTGATTGGTAACTCTAAATTGTCCCTAGGTGTGAGTGAGAGAGTGAATGGTTGTTTGTCTCGTTTGTCTCTATGTGTCCCTGTGATGGACTTGCGACCCGTCCAGGGTGTACCCCGCCCCTCGCACAGTGATTGCTGGACATGGGCACCAGCGACCCCCATGACCCAAAATAGAATAAGCGGGTAAAGAAAATGGATGGATGGATGGATGGATGAATTCAAGTAACTATGGGCAGCACGGTGGTGCAACTGGTAGAGCTGCTGCCTCTCAGCAAACAGGTCTTCGGTTCAAATCCTGGTCCGGGGGCCTTTCTGGGTGGAGTTTGCATGTTCTCTCCGTGCATGCGTGGGTTTTCTCCGAGTACTCTGGTTTTTTCTCACAGACCAAAAACATGCATGTTAGTGTGATTGGTAACTCTAAATTGTCTCTATGTGTGAGTGAGAGAGTGAATGGTTGGTTGTCTCGTTTGTCTCTATGTGTCCATGTGATAACTGGAGACCTGTCCAGGGTGTACCCCGCCCTTCACATAGTGATCGCTGGACATGGGCACCGGCGACCCCCGTGACCCAAAAGGGAAGAAGTGGGTAAAAGATAATGGACGGATGGATAGGATTCCATTTAACACAATCTAATCAAAGTCTTTTTATTGAATTTTTCAGAAGACACCTACACAAACACACACACAAATACAATAATGTCCCCTCCCACTCCACACGCCTTCCACACCTGATCAGCCACATAGACATGAACACATCAGACAGGCATTGACATATTCTCAACATAAAACATAAATGGCTGTCCAAGTGTCTGGACAGCCATTTATGTCCCAAAATATCTCAACAGAACCTTTCAGAGTACTGTGTATCTAATCTTTTCCAGATGAACATGACATATGACTTCTCTTATCCAGTGTTCATATGCCGAGGGATATGGATCCTTCCATCTGCATAAAATAAGTCTCCTGGCAAGAAGAGAGCCATAAGCAAACATCTTCCTCTCGCACTTACTGAAGGATGCATCTACAGGGCACACTCCAAACAATTAAATGAATGGTGACGGGTACACAGTTTGTAATTAACACAATTTATTATTACTTTTGGTGCTTACTGTCATGACCTCAGGTCAAATTCATATTCATGAGAGAACAATCCAGGTTTAGAATTTGAGTCAGGCTTCAGTTTTCCCACTTTATACTTCACTAGAGTTATTGCCACAATTTCCATTGTTTATTTAAATTCAAAGAAAATGGGATCTGTCTGCTCATTTTCTCCTCAGCTTACCTAAGTTTTCCAGTGTTTCACAGTTAGCTGTTCACAGACTCATGCTTTCATTTCTACAGTCACATTCAGACTAAAGCATGTGTAAGAATGACGAAATAACATTTAAGTGTCCTGCTGAAGAAATCAGGGTTCCAGAGGAGCCTGCAAAGGTAAATTCACTGTGCCGTTCACCAGAAAATGTCTAGAAAAGCTTTGTGATAAAGTAAATGTTAAATGATCAAAGCAACCAAAGCAGATGACTTGCAGTTTCTCTGTTTTCCCATTAGCAATCTGTTCTACTTCACCATATAACCACAGCATCCGTCATGCACCGATGTATTTGTCTACTAACATGTAGCAAACTTGTGGTGTCTCAGCTGTTACTAATAACATCTTTAAAACAACCTCCATCCCTAATAACAATCTATTATCACCCATAAATCTCCATTGTTTTCATGATCTTCATAGACCCAAGTTAGTCATGGTGTTCTTCAGGGCTCAGTGCTTGGGCCAATACTCTTTACTTTATATATGCTTCCATTAGGTAATGTTATTAAACAGCATGGGATAAATTTTCATTGTTATGCTGATGACAAACAATTATATTTGTCCATTAAACCCAATAAATCCAATCAGCTACTTAGACTACAAGCATGTCTTAAAGAAATAAAAACCTGGATGACCCTTAATTTTCTCCTTTTGAACACAGACAAGACTGAGGTTTTGGTTTTTGGACCTGAATTAGTTTTTCAGTCTTTCTCCCTCCTTAGATGGCATTAATCTGTCCTCCAGCGCTAATGTTAAAAATCTTGGTGTTATTTTTGATCAGGACATGTGTTTTATCCCCCACATTAAAAATGTTACTAGAACTGCCTTCTTCCACCTGCGTAATATCACTAAAATTATAAACATCTAAAAATGATGCAGAAAAACTGGTCCATGCATTTGTCACGTCTAGACTGGACTATTGCAATGGTTTATTATCTGGATGTCCAAATACGTCTTTAAAACGTCTTCAGTTGATCCAAAATGCTGCTGCCAGAGTCTTAACTGGAGTTAGTGGGAGAGATCATATTTCTCCAGTTTTAGTTTCTCTCCATTGGCTCCCTGTCAAATCCTGAATAGAATTCAAAATCTTACTTCTAACCTACAAAGTTCTCAAAACCTGGCTCCATCTTATATTACAGATCTTATTGTTCCATATTTTACTAACAGAGCACTCCACTCTCAGACTGCAGGCTTACTCATGGTTCCTAGAGTTTCCAAAAGCAGAATGTGAGGAAGATCTTTCAGTTCTCAGGCTCCTCTCTTGTGGAACCAACTTCCAGTTTCTGTCCATGCGGCTGACACATTGTCCAGTTTTAAAACTGGGCTTAAGACTTTACTTTTAGCTAAATCCTACAGTTAGTGTTGGCTTGTTATGCTGCTATAGGCTTAAACTACTAGAGAACAAACTGACCTCACTTCCTAAAATAAATTGTTAAAATTGAATAGTTTTCATTTGATACTATTTCTATCTCAACATGTGATTCTTGACCTGCCATTGTGTATCTGTTCCTACCAAACCCAGCCAGTCAAAGCAGATGGACGCTCGTCCTGAGCCTGGTTCTGATAAAGGTTTCTTCCTCATGAGGGAGTTTTTCCTTTCCACTGTTGCCTTCATTCTTGCTCAAGATGAGAGTCTGCGATGGAGTTAAACTGAAAGCAGTCTGCTCCTCAGATAAATAATGTTGTTAACTTACTTTTTATATTTCTGTTTAGTGCCCTAAGACAACTTCTGTTGTGACTTGGTTCTTTATAAATAAACTGAATTGAATTGAATTGATTTGGCTCTTATCTTGTTTCTCTCCATCTTTCTTTATAGCTAAATACTCTGTCAAACTGTGACCAAAAACGGACAAACACGTTGGATGTAAGTCCTACAAGTTAGGTGTAGGTTTTGAACAAGTTATCAGCATGCTGATATTCAATGAACACCCATTCATTTTGTTAGCAAAATTTTCAGCTTATGTGCACATGTTGCTGATGAGATTAAGTTTTTAGGTTTAAGTTACAGGTACGCTATGCACAAGTTCACACACATTACATGTAAGTTACTCATAAGTTTGCATAAGTGGGAAACCAGTAGCGAGCTTTTAAGCAACTTACTTCTAACATATCTATAACTTACATCTTTTCAGCAACACGTTCACATTCGTTGAAAATTTAGTGAATGTGCAAAACCTTTGGCAGACATCACCATACAACAAAGTTATGTCCTCGTTTATCAGCGTGCTGGTAACTTATTCAAAACTTGCACCTAACTGGTAGGACTTACGTCATCATTGTCTTTTTTTTTCCATTTGTTGACATATGTTGACGCTATATGTGGGAGAGTGGTGGCGCAGAGGTTAGACAAGGTGGGAATGTGATCGGAAGGTCATTGGTTCAACTCCACAGACTGACAACATCAAAATGTGGGTGGGAAAGGTGAAACACTCACACCTGTCTCCACCCTTGTTTGCCCCACTCAGGGCCCTTGAGCAAGGCCCTGAACCCCCACCAGCTGCTCCTCCGGGCGCCCTAAATGGCAGCTCTGTGCTCCACACAGAGGGCTGTGGTAGCTCAGTGGTCTGTGGTTGTGTCAGGAAGGACATACAGCGTAAAAACAACTGCCAAGTCTTTGTGCGACTAAATTCGCTGTGATGACCCTTGAAGAAGGGAGCAGCCGAAAGAAGAAGAACGAAGATTTAAATATACCGCCCTCTTATACTGAACCTGGATCTCAGCGTTAGCAATAAAAAGTCTCCTTGCTCTGTAGCAAAAGCAACATTCTAAAATAACAACAGTAGTTAACATTATATAAAATAATTGTCAACTTTCTGTAATGGATTTTTTCTTTTTATGTTTGTTTTTCTCTTTATAGCAGGTGGCAGCCAACAGAAGGAGATGTACTATCCTGCCTTCATCACAGCACATTCTGAGGTGCTGCCGAGAGAAATAAACTCAACATGATTTGAATAAATATGATCGAATACATTTTATGTAAATAAATAATTCAAGCGTTCACTAAATAAAATACACACCTGATCTTGCTGCTCAGATCCATGAGCGGTATCTGAAGAGCCTAAACCTGACAGCCAGCTCGTCCCCAGTCAAACCCCGGGCAGAAGTAAGTGAGTTCCACACTGATTTGAGTCAGCCTTCAAATAACAATGTGCAATTTGACTTTCATGAATAAAAACAGAAAACGCTTTAAAAAAGCATTTGGAGTCGCCACAGAGCTGGGAGCTGCTCAGCCCTGCCCCTAATTAAATTGGGTGTTTTTTATGGTGGGCCTTTCTGCACCACTTTTATTACTCCACTTGCTGATGTGGAGGCCTGGAGGGGTCACAGAATGAATCATGATGTCATCTGTGGGCAGCCACAGGAAGGATCGTAAACTGACAGCGGCTTCACTGGGACTGAATTCAAGAACATTTAAATCTGGACCCAGGCAGGAAATAGGCTCAAATTCAAGATTAACATGAACATTAACATCCCCAAGAGAAGGATTTAAATAGTGATAAGTCTTTGTTTTTAAATCTTTAGTATTTGTTAGGATTTTTTTTACTATATGTCAGAGATACGACAAGTTAAAAACACTCCTCACAATTTGATCTGAACGCCTTATTAATGAGAAAATGGTGTTTTGTTTGCAAATTATGTCACTGTGGTAATTCGAACCGTCAATAAAAGTAACAGCGGCTTCCAATATGACAATCATTTTCAGAAACAGATGTGGCATGAATTATTTACCATAACTCTGGTTTTATTTGGCCTATCAACATCGTTTAAAAAGACCTTTATCATTTAAAGTTCTTCTGCCACAAATCATAATTACCAAGTGTCTTACTTCCTGTTTCATTAGAACTGTAGCTTTGCCTCTATCCATGTCTGATCCGTTAAGTTTCCAGTTCCTGCGCATGGTGGAGCTGACTGAATACATGGCACAGCATCTTTCCTTAGTCTGGTGTTAAACTTTCCTTTGTATCCAAATATCCTCAGATTAAAGTTTGGGCACACTTCTACAAAATCTGCATGTAGACGTTGACAAACTTCACCCACTTCTCACTAATTTCCATGATTTTTGGGGAAAGTATTTATGCTAACTCCCTCCTGTGAAACACACTGATTCGATTTGTTGTTCCTGCCACAAATATTTTTGCCAGAAATTAGAACGAAACAATAGACTGTGACATTGTTCAATAGAAATCTAGTATATCTAGAAAATAGAAAGTCGATAGAAACATGACGTCAGACCCCATGTATGGAACTAAAGGGCTGTTTCCTAGAGACCAGCTTGAAGTCTCACAAAAACTGTTTAAAAACATTTTCATTACTCTTCAACATTTACAACAAAACGTAGGCATTTATTTATGTCTATCATATTTAGCTGGATATGTAATATGCAAAAATGTTGGATGTTGGATTTGAAGTGTATGAGTGAGAATGTGAAGATGCTGCATATAAAGTGTAAATGCAATTTACTTGTTTTATTCAGTAAATTAAATTTAGAAAAATGGGCAAATTTAAACTATATTAACAATTTATTTTCAGTAACATTTTTGATTTAACCTTAGCTGAGTATATACTGATCACAAACCAGATCCACAGCTTTGACGGTGATCAGCTACTTGTATACATTTTTACACCATTGTTTGTTTTGTGGGAATAATTTAGCAAAAATATAAAAACATTTCTAGAAGGAAAAAACATTAATGAGCTGTTAAATGTGTGAATGCTATATGTAATTTGTTTTGTAGCCTTTTTTTATAATAGCTAAATATTAGCTAGCTCAAACATTGTCTTGTTTAAGTTTAATAAATATTTTGGAAAACCAGTTAAAATTTGACTAAACTGACTAATCACCATTTTGTATGTTGGTTTGAATTTAACTGACATAGCTACGTATAAAGATTAAATTCAACTTATTTATTTACCTAAAGTGATGCAAAAATGGGCCAAACTTGACAAAAAGTTTCAGAAATTAAAAGTTTAAATAATTTGTAAAGTTTTACCTGATATAAGTTAGCAGTTAAAATGTAATTGTTTCTTATCTGTCATAGTGACATCATCTGTCCCTTTGTCTGTTTTCTTGGTTTCTTTGGTCTTTAGTTCCCTTTCTGGTCCTGGTGTTTGACTGGTCCCAGTCACTCTTCACTCACACCAGTTGTAATCAGCACCAGGTGCATTTGAACCTCTCCTGTTCACTTCTCAAACGTCTGCTCGTGGTTCTGTTCAGCTACGGACCCGCTCCTCCTCAGTCTGCCGTGCTCCTGTTCGCCTCATGATCTGTGTAAGTTTTGCAGCCACGCCAGTTTTCTTGTTCAATAAATTATTTTTTATTTAACTCCTGCACGTGGATCCTCATATATAGTCAGTTAATGTTGTCTCAAAACTATTGGTTATAAACCACGGAGGGTGGAATGTGACTGAATTAAATCAATAAATACATCATGAAAGAAATAAATGTACCCTCCATAATAATCTAACCAAATAAAATAACTACACATTTTTGCACTAGTTTTAATAAGTAATTTTAGCAGCTTGATTTTATAGTAACAGATGGTGTGTGTGTGTGTGGGGGGTGGGGGGGGGGCATTGAATACCTCTGTCTGGTGATCAGGTTGATGTAGTGTCTCAGGGCGGTGTAGTACTTTGCCAGCTCTTCAGGTGGTGCGTCCTCACCAGGGTTTTCTGGTTTTGGGGGGTAGGCATCCGCCAGTGCTCCCAGACATACCAGCACACACACCACTGTGGCCGCCAGCATCGTCCATGGCTTCAGCATCACGACCATCTGCGTCACAGCAGCAACTTGTGAGTTTGATTCAGTAATCAGGGATGTTCCTTTAAAAACATTTCAATGTTATTTTTGTTCTTTTTTCACAGAATGTGTTTGTTTTCTTCAATAACTTGAAACACAGACTTGGAATATTCTGGGGTTTGACTCTTCTTCAGTCTGGACAACTAAATATTTGAGGCTGGCAGAACGGCATATTTTTAAAATATTTTTTAAAAAAATTCTGAGGAAATGTCTTCTGTGCTGCTGGCTGATGGGCAGAGCCAGCCAGTGGTATGAGCAGATAGGACAAATGCATGTGCAGTTCCTCCAGGGGGCAACAGAGACATCCATCCATCCATCCATCCACCCATCCATCCATCCACCCATTCATTATCTTTACCCCCTTCTTCCTTTTTGGAGTTACCAATCAGTCTAACATGCATGTTTTTGGTCTGTGGGAGGAAACCGGAGTGCCTGGAGAAAACCCACGCAGCACGGAGAGAACATGCAAACTCCACCCAGAACGGCCCCCGGCCAGGATTTGAGCCTGCAAACCTTCTCGCTGAGAGGCAGCAGCTCTACCAACTGCGCCACCGTGCCGCCCACAACAAAGTCACTGCATCACAAAAAAGTGTCACTTTCACAATTCCTATTCCAAAAGAGTTGTATTATTTCTTAGTATGAAAAAAAAAAAAAAGAAAAACCCAACATAAAACAAAAGGCATTAATTAAAGCACATAGAGCCTGTTAAAAATATCTACATTCATTCAACCTTTATTTAAACAGGTTAGTCCCAATGAGCCACGAGGACTCATTTACAAGGGAGACCTGATTTCAACAAACGATGATGACAACAATGGACAACGACGACAATAGACAATCACAAATGATGTGTACAAATTTACGTTTTTTCTTCTTCTTTTTTTACAAATGAAAATAAAATGACAATTAAAAGGAAAAGTAATGAAAAAACAGCTAGATTACACTAAGATTCAGCTAGATTGCTTAAATCACCACTCCCTACCAGCTTGTTAGGCTCTTCCCGAGTTTTCTGACCTGACCTAAGAAAGACAATAAACATTAAACACAAGGATTAAAGCAGAAAACAAATATTTTTTTCCACACAGCGGGGTGTTCTGTTAGGGTGGCAGGGTGTCCTCCTCAGAACATAGTATACAGCAGTAGCCTTGATCCTAACTCACTAAACTTCAGATAACGTTACTGCAGCATGATGGAGGAGCGAAGATGTGATCACTTGGAACTATATAAATAAACTGAACTGAACTGAACTGATGCTGTAATGTGGGTTAGTATTTTTACCTTATATTTCTTAGGGAAATTTGTAAAATTAGATTTATTTTGCAGGTGTTATACATGTGTTTACATTTTTACTGACATCTGCTTAACAATTGTTCTGGTTGTAATAATCCTTTTCCATCACCTTATTGATCATAGTTGTTGTGTTACGGTTCATATTGTCTGAAGTGTTTATAGTATATACTGTAGTATAATCTAACTATGAAGGTATGAAGAAAGTTGGTCCACAGAGATCTTTTTTCTAAATGAGAACCGCTTCATGTTCTCTAAACAAAAGGACATTTGAAGGTGTCGTTCAAGTATTTATGCATTTACTGTACACCTTGTTCACACCTTGTTAACTGTTTTCATCGCAAAACTTGTTTTCTTAAAATCAGTTTCTTATGAAGGTGTATGTAAACTGGCAGAGGAATTTACTGCAGTGAGAGTGGGGGCGGCATGGTGGCACAGTTGGTAAAACTGCCACCTCTTAGCAAGAAGGTCGCCGGTTCAAATCCCGGCCCGGGGCCCTTCTGGGTGGAGCTTTCATGTTCTCTCTGTGCATGTGTGGGTTTCCTCCCACAGACCAAAAACATGCATGTTAGGCTGATTAGTAACTCTAAATTGTCCCTAGGTGAGAGAGGGAGATTGAATGGTTGTTTCTCGTTTGTCTTTATGTCCCTGTGATGGACTGGAGACCTGTCCAGAGTGTCCCCCACCTCTCGCACAGTGACCGCTTGATATGGGCACCTGTGACCCCCGCGACCCAAAAAGGAAGTAGCGGATAAAGATGATGGATGGATGGATGGATGGAAAGTGGGGGCACCACCTAATTTCTTGACTGAGGCACCTAATTGGTTAGGGCCATGTCTGCAGATGAAAACATAGGTGTTTGTGTGTGTGTGAAGGTTTATGTGCTTTCTTGATACACAAAATAATTTAACATGAATAATGAAAACATGTCTGCTCATAATTGTTTTTTTTTCCTGTAATAAATCCATTTCAAATTTTAATACAATTTGTTGGTTTGAATAAAACTTAATGAGTACATCATAAAAAAATAAAAATAATAATAAAGAAACTTGTACAGATGACATGATAATAAAATAAAATAAACCTTTGTGTCAAATTCTTATTTTTAAAAGCCTACTAGATTTCCTGTGCAGTCAGTCAGCTTCACATCATCATGAGTGAATGAATGAAAGAATGAATGAATGTCTCAGCAGAGCTGAGACAAAATGCTCCATATAGGACAAATATAAGCTACTAAAGAATATTATTGCTTAATTGTAGTGTAGTACACAAGCAACACTATAATCATATTTAAAATTATATTTTTAAATATGATTGTTTTGGTATAGTTGTGGCAATAAATGTTTTATCTGAACATGATCTACCCTCTTTCATTAACTTTGTTTTCCAGGCTGTGCGTCCTGATCTTACTGCAGGATGTTTGTCTGCTTTCTGTAGTTCCAGTGAAAATTACGGCCAAATAAAATATGTCAGGATGTATTTTACACAAGACTTCATGGAAAATTCCAAGTTCATCTTTGAATTTTCATTACTTTTCTTGTTTTACTTTATTTATTCACTGGGTTCAACAATACAAAAACCTAGCAAATTGCTCTGTTCATGATTGATGGAAAGTCCTGAGAATGTGTCACTTACTTTAAGAAGATTAAGAAGATCCAGGAGGTGGTCTGGGTTCTAGGTGATGGTCTGTGTTCCAGGTGGTCCCTTGGAGAAACAGAGGTTCTTGTTTGCACCACTAAGGAGTTAGGAGTTTGATCTCCTTGTGAGTCTGGTTTTCCTCTGCTGGTCTTTGGTTCAAACTCGCAACAGAAGGATTTATATGATTCAGCCACAGCACAGCAGGGAGGGGTCACACAGTTGGAGTGTGTTTGTAAAGGTGGGGTGAGTAAGACCTGGGGGGTGAAAAGACTGAGTGCGTCAGATGGGGCTGATGATGGAGACATTACTAACGTATCAGCCTTGTGCGCTCAATCCCGTAATTCTGATGCAGTCAACAAATGACACACAAAAAGCTGCTTGTGTGTGTGTGTGTGTGTGTGTAGATAGGTAGATAGATAGATAGATAGATAGATAGATAGATAGATAGATAGATAG